GGTACGTGTCTTGCTCGTTAGAGGTGACAGCTTCTGCGTAGGTCGAAGGATGGCTTGAGAAAAGGTTCTGAGTCTCCTCTGAACCCCAGTCCCGTGGGGCTGCGACGATTTCGTCCAGCAAAGCGGACTCACTGGGGTCCTCTGGAGGGGCCTCTGGCGGTGGTTGTGGGGTTGGAGGGGCTGGTTGCACCCGGCGCCTTCTGGGACAGTTTTTTACTACGTGCTCTGTGGACTGGCAACGATAGCAAGTGCTAGGCTGTCCAGTATATTTAGAGCCAATTTCAACACCACCGATCACTAACCGTTTTGGAATGTCCCTCGTGATGTTAGTGAATTGTGCGACACGTATGCCGTTTTCAATGTGTGTAAATCCTTCTTCAGGGTAGTGAAGTCGTCGTAATTTCGGCGATGCAAGCGTGCCATAGGTGTTGAGGAGTTGAATTAAATCGTCGTCAGGGAATTCCAATGCGACGAAAATCGAGACGTGAATCGATTTCGCGCCCAACAAGCGTAATTGCTTTCGCTCATCTCCATAATCGAAGACAGTATTCGCAAGTTCTGCCGCACATTCCGCGTCATCTAAGGTTATATCGAAGCATTTTCCGAATTGGGGCACTATGCCGGTAATACGTTTAGCAAAATCAGGCAGGGATTTTGCGATGTTGATAGAATCAAGTTCCATAGAGTCATCGATGATTAATCGTACTGTTCGCCTGTGTGCGAAAACCGGCCTGGGACGGCTGAGCGCCATGTGTTTGCCAGCAAAAACACGCAAAACAGAACGCACAAACCGCCGTACTCACCCCTTCTTTGCTGTAGGAAACACTAAAACCGTCTGGCGTTAAGCTGTCTCGAAATTGGCCTTAAACACTCAGAAAAAACTGACTAGTCTGCCTTTCGAACTAAGAACAGATATCACGCTCGAACTTAGCCAAAAGGCCGACCGACTTTACACTGTTTCGGCCTTCTGGGCCTCATCAGTGCAGTGCTAAAGCTATGATGGGGGAGAACCGACATGCACCCTCAAACGATCCCACACTTGTGGTATCGTCTAAATATGTGTGTCTATTACGCCTCTGGCGAACCACTGCATGATAGACTCTTTTTTGCCTTTTTTATTAATTTCCTGATAAATTATTTGCTTCAATCAGTATATATCAGTATATCAAGAATACCTCAGAGAAAACGGCCAGCTATGGCATCATGTGATCATTAAAAAAGTGAGCACACTTTTTTTTCACCGACTCTTTGTTGAGTTTTGGTACATATGTTTTCACCCTGTTATAATAACAATAGAAAATGTTGTGTCGTAACTAAGTATTCTTCCAGACGGATGGGCAAAGTTAAGAAAACAGCGTATTCCTTTCATATAATTGCGAATACACTTACAATGTTATGTCCGCTTTTCTTTCTCATATTAGTTCCTTCACAAAAATTTTAAACAAGGAATGGGTGTTAGCATATCAACTGGTCTGCGCTAAAACCTATTCAGCGCTCGCGGTAAACGAAAAGCACCAACTAATGACCTTTTTCAAACAAAATTTCAATTACATGAGCCGCTGCCGTTTTTACTGATCCGAAAGAACAGTGTCTGTAGATAAATTGTGTAAACTCTTCTGAAAACCGAATCGTACAATTTCACTAAGTGACCCAGTTAAGGTATAACCTTTTTTTCACTCTAAATTTGCTTTGATTTCTCATTTGTTAATTAAGTTTCACTTGCTCTGGCTGTTTACTGTTTTCCTAACTAAAGTAAAAATCACCCGAGAGCAAAAAGCTCAGTTTCCAAAGATTTTGCTGCGTGCTTATTTACTCGCTCAATTGAGAATTATTCCTACTCCCTTCATTTTGATTTCATCTGTCGTAGTCAAAGCGTTCCGCAGAGTTATCCTTAGCTTTGAAGTTGAAGCTTAGTTTCATTTGGCTCACTCTCACCCAGAGTTCAGAGTTCTACAGAAAAAAAAAAAAAAAGATTTAAAATGGAAGAGCTCATTCAGAGCCTAAGAACCAGTGTAATTGCAGACAAATTTCCACAGTCCATTAATCCCTTTCTGAGAGTTACGGAGTGGAAATTTTCAATCGCATTCAAAGCTAAAAAATTGTTTGACTACAAGTTTCCTCAAAAACGTATCAATGATTAATCGTAAGTTTTAACTGAAACGAGCGTTGTTGCAAGTAGCAGGAACAACGACAGGTTTCGCTTATCTTCGAATCCCAGAAATGAGTCAGCCTCGTTCTTAAGAAATGAAAGAAGGAAGGGAGGCAAACAAAAGCCTGGCTTTTCAGGCAGGTGTCGTCCTATTACAGGTAAGTGACCAAAAAGCTGACACACTTAAGATTTAATCGATAGATGACCGATTGATCAATTCACTGCCAATCACAGTAAAGATCCTCGTCTTTAGAAAACGTTCACTCCGTGCTCTTTGTGAAGGATTTTCGAGGCCCTTCTTTCAACTTGGCAAATCGGGTCACGAGGGAACGGGATTGTATGTCCAGTTCTGTTTGAGCCCTTCAAATGGAAGTACGCGCCTCGTCCCAGGTTACGTTTACCATATATCGTTGACAACCGGTTCCTACATGGGAGCAAATAATATATATAGGTCAACTTTTAACGTCGATTTTGTCGCCGCCACGAGGTACCTACACTAACTAACACACTCTTGTCGCCCACAAGCACAAATGCATGGCGGCGAACAAGCTTTGGGAGGCGGTCGAGGTTCTAGGAAGGGGGTGCGGTCACCTGAGCCAGGGAAGTATTTTAACCTATCTGCTCTCGGAAGTGATTGACTTAATATCTTTCAATACAAAAATACAAGTCCAGTTAATCGGAGTTTAAAATTCACAAACCTATCAGCTAGGGCTGTTTTCTTAAGATAATATTATTTTTTGAAGTAATTGAATAGCAGCCAGAGAGAGAATTCCAAATCAGGTCTCGGGGGTTAAAAGGGTAACTTTTAACAGTACTAAAACAAGGGAAAACTCTGATGTGTGCATGACAGCAAGTGCTGTGAAACACCACCTCGCCTTTTCCGTCTTCTAACTCAACTAATATGTACACATTAAATATATCTTATTAACCAAGCGCGAGGGCCGTACTGGGAGAATATCGGCCCGAGGTCTTGACAGTACGGACCGAGCGCAGCGAGGTCCGTACAAAAAAGACCGAGGGCCGATATTCTTCCAGTACGGTCCCGAGCAAGCTTGGTTAATAAGAGATTTATTATACGACTGAAGTTTAAAGGGACACAAGTGCGGTATCATTCGGGACCATTCGGGACAATGCCCAGTCCAATACTGAGAGAATATTGGACCGGCAATAGAGCATTTTGATCGGTTGAATTTAGTTATTGGCCCTCTGACTGCCCGAGTCGTGTAATAAGGTCTGTTATGCGCTGTTTTGTCGATCTAGTACCTAAGAGTAACATCCTTCAAGGTTGGACAATTTTCAAATTGCTCGTGTAATAGTTTGGTCGTCTCGCAGAACGAATGGTCCACTTGATATACAAGCTCATCAAGGTTGCCTAAAAAAACATGATACAGAAGAAAAACGTACATAAATAGCCCCTGAGAAACCCTACGTCAAACTGTTCATTATATTATGTGCAAATTACTTTTAGATGAAAGAAACCGCCCAATAGAAAATGATTAAATTTAAATTAAATGAATGAAACAAAGGCATGTGGATGTTTCAGAGTGCTACTGATGAGGGTTCTATTAACGCTAATAGGATCACATTTTTTCGGATGCATAAACAGTGAGGTAAAGATTTTGGCTTCTACATTATCTGTAAGTTATCCATTTGAATTAGAAAGAGCAACTTTCGTAGGGTTGCAAAGTGAATTTTATCTGTACGTTTTGAAGTCTTGCGATGCAGTTCTTAAAATGTCTCAAGCGATGTATAAAATTGAAAACATGCGGCTTCTCATTTTCATGAAAAGTTTTCTGTACATTACCTTTCATGTTTCTCTCAAAGCTGTCATACAAAAGGAAACTATATTCGTCAGACTGTACCTGTATATGATAACACATCATTAGAAACTACAACCAAATCTTTCACACTTCTACGTTAACAGCTCTTTGCTTGAATTGAGCTCTTTATTTACTTCAGTCCTTTGGTAGATAGTTATAAAAATCAGAAACCTCAAACAAGCCTTTTTGGAAATTTCATGCTCACAACATTTGACTTAAAAGGTTCTCGCTACTTATTGGAATCATTTGGAGATAGTAAAACATTCACAGAAGGCTGGAGTAATTAACGTCTACAGGTTCTGAACAATGTATGTGCTGATCTCTACTTACGGGAACTGATTCATCACCCAAAGATTGTTTGACCAGAAACTCCAGTTCACCAAGTTGATTCAGTGACGTTTCCCACTGTAAACAGTCAAATAACTAGTTAAGGTTATGTTTACCAGAGAGATTCCGATGACTGTGGCGACAAATAAAAAAAAATGGTGTGGTTTATCCACATCCTCACCAAAGCCTTGATGCTGTTACAGTCATTGTTCAAACCCTCCTCGACCAGGAGAATGAGGACAACTTTAGAGTGGGCTTGTACATACAGATTCACATGAGTTAAGCCTTCAACCTATCAAATCAGAGCACGGAAAAAACGGTTAAAAAGTATTATATTCATTTTGGTCTTTCTTTTAATAGCTTTCCAAACTTCACGTGGCAAGTCTGGAAACTGGGCGATATCTAAAACTGAATCTGTAACTAACTCATTTCCTATTTTCTAGGAGAACGTTATGTGTGTGCTCAAGTTGAGAGCGGGATGCACCGTTGAAGGTGTTAGTGCGCGCGCGTTTATCTGATCTAAATTATTACGAATGAATGCGAATGCACACGCGCATTTATTCGAGCAGGACAAAGACGACAAAATGAGCGTCTGAGCGTAAGATCATGAGAGTTTTTCAGTAACGTGCTGGCGCACACGCTGTCAGGTCAACTGGATAGAGACGCGTGGGTGCGAATGCACACGCGTGTGTTTATCGGACCAGTGAGAAATGAATGAGCGTGTGCACACGCGCTCCTGAGCGCCAGTAAGTGACTAAGGGGTGCAGATGCGCGCGCATATGCTTAAACAGGTAAGTGACGAATGAATGTGAATGCTAGCGCGCGTTGATGTGAGCTGGTCAGTGACGAAACAATGAGCGTGCGCGCGCGCGATCATGAGGGCTTATTAGGGACGAATTGGGGACGGGTCGATGATGAAATAATAGGGAACTTTAGCATCACGTTTACGGCAAACGGCGAACATGAGGAGGTCACGTGACCACCGCTTTGCCGTCACGTTTGAAGTTTGCGGTTCCAGTTTCGACGGGAAGAAGGCGCTCCAGCCGTAAGACTTACGGGAAGGTTTTTTGGCCACTTAACGAAACCAACTTACGTTTGACACTTTTCGTAAGAATTTTCTACCATTTATGGATCCAAATGTGGTTTTTTGTGATTAAGAAAACAATGTATTTTGCATGGAAGAAAGCCGAGTGGCGAAAGAACTTGAAAACAAAATGGCGGCTCGAAGTTCCTAAACATGTGCATGCAAAGAAGCACAGTTATGGTGTTCTGTATCAATGTATGCCTTCTTCCATTTCTAGAAAATGCCTTTTAGATAGCCAAACACTTGCCAAGAGGTGATGCTGGCGACCGAGGTTGGCCCAGCGAAGGCCAAAATGTCCCGCTGATTATAAGGAAATTCTGAGGGTTTTTTCCCCTATTTTTTCGGAAGACAAAAAAACCCGTCGTGCTCTCAGGGCGAGCTTGTAGAAAAAGGATGAATGGCCTTATCTCAAAATACCTTGAAGAAGATAAAAAGGCTGTTAAAAGGTAGGCTTTTCTCGCCAAAAGACGTCAACGCCATGGTAAATTCAATTTTGGTGACGACGGCAAATGGGAACCTCAAACCGCTAGCAGCCGTTTGCCGTTTGCAGTAAACGCGATGCTAAAGATCCCTAATAAGAATGCACGTGCGCGTTCAAGTGACGAGTGAAAGCGCACGTGCACGCGATCATGCAATCTCATAGCTGACCACAGAACCAGGCATATAATGAGTTTGACTAACTTTAAAGTGGGTCCTTCATGAATCTTTTGAAAGAATGGAAACGACGTGGAAAATGATGAAAAACAAAGTTCCTAAAGCACTTACTTGATTCATGTCATCTCCTCCTTCTTCGTACAGCAGTAACTCTTCCCTTTCCCTACTTGTGGAGGAGGGCGCGTCACCCAAAGGCGGTTCAAACCATTCAGGCGATTCCTCATCCTCCATTTCTTCAAGAGCAAGGTCAATCGGTGGTAAGTCGGTGTCATCAGTCACGTATGTCCCTTCTAGGCCATTTGTGACAAAAATCCCAGAATCATGTTCAACTATGTCAATGGGTGGTACAGAATGAATTCCCTCGGACACCAGAGCGAGTCCGTCAGACGCAACACCTTTATCAACTGAATTAGCATGTTGAGACGCGTTGTTCTCCACACTGGCCAACGAATCTCGCGTATCTTTTGCAATACTGGTATTCAAGCACGCAAGCGACTTATCCAAAAATTTCTCAGGTCCCATGTTGAGATTACGAATTGGAAACGAATCGCATACTATCGGGGTCTTGATTAAATCGCTTCTCAAGCTGTTTCCTTTGTTGAGGCTTAAATCAGACGGATCCGACTTTTCAGCGACATCTGCAGCATATGATAGCCTACTGTCCTTTCCTTCGTTGCAGACACTATGATCAGATAAGGGAAGATTTGTTTCTAAAATAACTGGAGGATTAGCGACTGAGAGCTTCCCCAACGTTTGTTCCCCAGAACAAGAATTCTCATTTGTGAGAGTTTTGCTGGATTTATCCGCACCGCATTTACGTCCAGATTGACAAAAAGAGTTACCACACGACATATCACTTGATTTTTGTAACGCAAAGCACGCCTGGCAACACGCAACGCGATTCGTAACGTTTTTATCACCCTTATTTTTCATCTGGGAATTCTTCTGATGAGCTATGTCTACAGCCTGAGTTATGAGATCGTCCAAAATTAACTTACACATTTCTACCTCGTGACTGGAAAAAGACTTAATTGAACAGTAACTCGATCGTTCACACGAAGACGATGAACTACAGAGCACTCTTTGGTCTGTTTCCTCTTCATGTTGCTGCCTTTCACACGGCAAACTGGAACAGTCAACTACTTTTCCACTTCCGGATGAGGCATTACAGGGCATCTCTGTGCGCTTTTCTTCCCCATACTGTTGCGTCTCGCATTGTAAATTGAGATTTTCAATGACATTTAACCCAACCACATCAACGGTTTCCATAACTACGCTAGTATCGGTAGATAACGAACTTTCAAAAGAACTGCTGTCAAAAACCGAGACAGAACTTGTCGCTCCAAATTCAATCCCAGCTCTCCCACCTTCCGAGTCTGCGCCGTCTTTCTCGGCCCTTTTCTCAGCTGAGGTAGAGGTCACATTTTCATTGTTTCTCTCATTTTCATTTGCAGTTTTACATCTTTCTTCCACAGTTGCCACAATGGTACCGCGACCTTGTTCGTTCGCTGGTGCAGTTTCATCAGACTCCACCACAAGGTTCGTCTGCACCACAAGCGTTTCACTTGACTCGTTTTTAAGCAGTTGGTGAGTAGAGTCTTCATGATCTGCAACTCGAGAATCGCCATTAGGGCTCTTAGTTGTCTTGAGAGGTGTACCAGAAGCGAGATCTTTTGTTGTAGAATTTCTTTCTCTTCCTGGAGATCCAAAATCTAATCCCCCATTTGACTTTGCACGAAGATCACTAGAGAGTGGAGTCAAGCTGTCGTTAAAGTGCTTACTATCATTTGCATTACTTTTCCGCCGGTAGGACGAATCCCTTACAGTAGCCGAGGAGACTGTCGTGTATACATCTGGAAATGTCTTAGACGATTGTCTCGAAGGCGGCTGTCTATACGCAGATTGGGCCAAAGCATCGTAAAGGTTTAGGTATTCAGACAAAGTGAGGAACGCATTCAGGATACGAACACCAAACGGGAGAGAACATTCTAGAAAAAAAATAACCTCAGCGTCAAATGTAAAATATCCATTCCCACCACCTACTCACGAAGTCGTAGAAAACGGTCCCAGAGCTAGTTGTCAAAACAAAACAAAGTAAGGAGAAAGCGAGATGCCTTGTCAGGGCAGCTGTTTCCTGACACTTACTTTGGTTCTAAGCAGATTAATACAAATAAAGCTCACCAGTTTTAACGGGCCTTGAAGGATGCTGTATCAAATATAAAAAAGTAATGATAATATTAAGAAATAAATATATCATTCGACCACTAAATTACACACAATAAATATAACATTGAGTTTAAATTAATGAAAGAACGAAAAAGGAAAAGAAATATCACCGTCATGACTAAAAGTGCACAAAAAAGTTTAAAGTAAGTTCTAGCAAAGGAAGTAAAAACCCAGGATGTTTAGGAAATTGATTAGCATAAGGGCAGACGGTTACTTTTCTCCTTCTTCGTTCAGTTTCGTTTCCATTGGGAAGACATCACAGGTGAGAGACAGTGTCTGAGCAAACGTCCAAAGCCTTGGCAACTTCTCAAAAATGCTTCGCTGTGTGTCGTATTTTAAACTATTTTTACAGTGTTCGGAAATGTCCCTATTCTGTTGCTTACATGACTTTGATAAGGCTTAAGAAGAAGAAGCCTCTCTGTTATGGATGGCTCCAACTGACTGCACAAGATCCTGAAAAAATACACAATAACAGAACAATACTTTAACTGATTTCATAACTTAGATATAATTTTTCTAAGTGTGGAATTATAAAAACAGATTATTACTTTTTCCATTACTACGAGAAACACCTCTTGTGATAGTCCATTTATTGTTCATTTCCAGACCTCAGAGGCTGACCTAAATTCAAAGGTGGACAACACCAGATGAATACTTCTGCGCTTTACACCTCATTTGAGAGTTGCTTTGTGGTGGGCAAAGGATCTTTAAGGGCGGCGAAACCAAAATGACAGCCATAGTTCTACATGGAGTTGAGCTGTTTGATAATGCTTTTGATGATGTACTTCTTGCTAATGAGACGTTTGAAGGTACAAACAGGATTGAATATCATTAATGCTGACTTGTTTCGGTAGAGAATGCACCCTCCAAGAACATGTTTTCTAAGTTGGCATGCTTGGAGAAAGTATGATGCCTTTGTAAAACAAGTGGCTGCAACTCTCTGTCACCAAAAAAAAAGTCAGTTTAACAAAGGAATAACGATGTTTGGAGTTTGATACTGGGATGAAAGGATTTTCTAAATAAGTGTAAATGACTATAGAGTAACACAGGGTCTGGGATGGACCAAGGAAAAATAGGGACAGTGAAAACAGCAGATAGACAGGAGAGAAATGGATGGGTAACAGGAAATAATATGGGGTAAGATGGGAGGGTACTGGGTGAGAGCAGACATAGCATGACTCGATGAAATAGAATGGGTGGGTTGAGAGGGGATGAGATGAAATAGAATGATTAGAGAATATATATGTATGATGCATGATCCTCGCAGTAGAGAGCGCTATTAATGCAATAGCGAAAATCAGACCTGAAAAAAAATCAGGCCTGTACGGGATTCGAACCACTGACCTCTGCGATACTAGTGCAGCGCTCTACCAATTGAGCTAACAAGCCAACTGGGAGCAGGCCGTTACGTATCTAATACTGCAGTTCAAAATATATGAACTTCATATATTCATTGTATCAGAGAATACATAGTAAGCAATGACAAGGGATGGGAGATTACTTGAGCCTGGACGAGAAAAGATGAGTGTATAGGATGGGATGAGTGGGCAAAAATGAGATGGCACAAAATAGAATGAGATAGGCTGAGATGAGAAGAGACTAGATGGCAAATGATTGAATTAAACAGGATGGGATGGAAATAGTGGAGAAAGGGTGAATGAGCATAGAATATGATAGAAAAGTGAATGGTCAGTGTAGAAGGAGATGAAATGAGATAAAATAAGAGGACAAAAGATGAGATGAGGAGGGACAGAAATGAGTGGGAAAGGAGAAGCTGAAAGAAAATAGATGTTGATCGAGTGGAATTGGGTGAAACAGGATAGGATAAGAATGGATAAAATGCATTGGGGTGGGTCAAAAATGGGATTGGATGGGATTAGATAAAATATTGTGAACACTAAATTTGTGATCAAGTAAAATTCCCAGACCAAAGAAAGTGATTGTAAGACTTTCATCTAGGGTGACCATAGCTCAGATTTCATGTTAACACTTTTTCCTCACTGCAATCAAGCATTTCAAATTGATACTGTTTCTTCCAAAATACACCAACAAAAGCACAATAAAGCTACATAACACATACTTTGGGCAGATCAAGAAATGGCAAAGGATCAAACACTCCTGGTAGGAAATCACCATAATGACGGACAAAATGTAAATAACAGTCCCAGATCATACTCATCCAAGTCAGGAACATCTTTTGACTCTCACACATCTGCAAAAAGTTAAAACATTCCACCAATTACATTACAAATAATGAAATTGCAAGCATGAAGATAAAATCAACTACTAGTTCTGCCAAGTTGATCCTATAATATCATAGTAATTTACATTTTATGAAGTAAGGTGAACCCAAGATCAAGAGTTATTTACACACAGTGTATTAGCATATTCAGTCACTGGCTTTGATCTATTATTATTACACGACTCGGGCAGTCAGAGGGCCAATAACTAAAATCAACCAATCAAAATGCTCTATTGCCGGTCAATATTCTCTCAGTATTGGACCAGGCACTGTCCCGAATGGTCCCAAATGGTACCGCACTTACGTCCCTTTGAACTTCAGTTGTATAATAAATCTCTTATTAACCAAGCTTGCTCGGGACCATACTGGAAGAATATCGGTCCTCGGTCTTTTTTGTATGGACCTCGCTGTGCTCGGTCCGTACTGTCAAGACCTCACGCCAATATTCTCCCAGTACGGCTCTCGCGCTTGTTTAATAAGATATATATATTGTACTTCTCAACTGACCATTCTGATTCGCTCCAATGAACCATGGTAGAAGGTGAAGGTACTGTGAAGTGTCTGTAGTTGTGTTATCAATAGTGAGTCAGGCTCATTAAGGCTCCCTCCAAGTGCCTGGAATAAAAGTTGTGAACTCTGAGCCAAAGAAAGTACACACAAAGTTGTACATACCACCATAAGGTTTGCACAGCAACTATATGACAGCTGAGTTAGGGATGAAGAGTTATCATGTTTCTATATAAGTTGCTAGAAAACAAAGTTTGCTTCAAATACACTTTCAGTTTCTAGAGGTTTTGAATAATTTATTAATAATGGAATAAAAATTTCTCTGTAAGACTTAACTCCAAAGTGCCTTGTTTATAAGAGCTAGCTACCTACCTAACATATGGTCAAACTGGTACTCCATTCATATTACATGTATAAAAAACACATCATTAAATTATGTTATTGAATAAACACAGTTTTATTGCCCTATGCAAGTATATTGAATTGAACATCAATAAAATTTATCTGCAATCATTACCAGGGTGTATTTGCCAGAATGAACAGTTGCCACTTTCTCTGACTGCAGTTTACAAAGGGCTGGTCTGGCTTGAAGAAAGCCATGCATAAATTGTGACATTCCAACAAGTTGTCCACATACTGAGACTCGATCTTCAATGGATGCCTTTCAAAGGAATAAAAATCAGCTTAGGCACAAAGCTAACCATCGCAGTTTTATTGAACAAGTTTTCTGACTGTCAAATCTGAGAGAATTACCCAGACAGTTCTTTTGTCTTCGGTTAAACAAAATTTGTTGGAGCTGTGGTAGCCTGATGGCTGGTGAGCTGTACCCTGGATCAAAAGGTCTAGGTTTGAGGTCTAGCCTGAGGTTCCCCATTACCCATCTACAGCCCAAGTGGAAGCAGCGACTGTAAGACTAAATTCAAGTGTCTCATATGAGAAGAAAGCCCAAAGCTTTCAATCTAGATGCAAAAACATTATGCCACTGCATTTACGTGATCTCTGATTTATCATAAATTGAACAGTTATACTTATAATAACTCAAATGTGACATAAATAATTGACACAAAGTTCAGGTTCCAAAAGCATCGGGACAAGTGCTAAGAAAGAAGCAAATGAGTACAATAACAAGCTGATTGTTAGACTCGGTAAGGAGTAAACTGATGTTAACAGAGCGTAAACTTGAATAATCCCTTCAAGTGTGAGATGCGGATGTAATTGGAAACGGCTCAATCCGAGACAATTATTGAACTTACGTAAGAACTAAAAAAGGGAACCAAAAACATTACCGATGGAGGATAGAAGTAGACGATTGCATTTTCAGGTGGATCTGCTTCCTTTTTCACGGCATCTCGATCGTAAACAAAGAATACGAGGCCCTCAAAACTGCAATTGAAATTAGAGTTTTTCTGTTGTCGAATCAGTTCATTTCGACAAATCCAAATAATTCAACGTACAATACCTTGTTGCTCGTACAGGGGCGATTAGAGCGGTCATATAGTTACCGGTTTTTACAAAAGTAAGTCAATACACGAATCACTTTTCAGGGAAGAACGGAAGAAAGATTAAATAAACCCCTGTGGCGTGATGATCAAGGAGCGGCAAAGTATGCGTGTCACGAGAAGCTTAGCAACCGCCCTCGTTTCACGTGAGGGTTACACGTTCTATATACCCTCAAAAGCGGCTCGTACTAGTTTCCTCGCGCGGGGAACTGATAACTCTTGCGTCACACGCGAGAGAAACGTGGGAAAGAAGCGCGAGATGTCGCGCGAGATTAAAAGACGAAAATTTACAACAAAGATGGCGGCGCGAGGATTTTTTTCTACTTTTGTGAGAAGTTCACCTAAGAGTGTGTATTTGATGTGTTGTGCGGGCACTGTGAATGCAGGAGATAGAAACTAAGATAAAAAGACGATTTTCGGAGAAGTAAAGGTTGCTTTACTTCACATCTAAAAGAAATAATCAACCGATATGAAATCTTGCGACGGCGAAAAAAGAACTTGAGTGAAAAAAATAGTATCTTCACTGCGCGCGGTGAAGATATGATTTTTTAGTAAAAGGAGAAATCCTGGTATTTCATCGGTATCTATATACTAAGACTAGAATATCTAACCATTTCTTAATGTTATAGAAAGGTACCATATTCTTCTCAATTATTTTAAGATCTTGAGTGTTGGTCTGGCCGGGGCTCGAACCCTCGACCTCCCGCACAACAGTCCAGCGCTCTATCCATTGAGCTAACATGACAAAACCCTTCTTTTTGTGAAAGTAAACACCATTGTTATTAGCTGCCAGAATTTACAAAGGGTCAAAATGATCTAGAGGGAAGGAAACATTAATAAATGTCTCAGCCAAAGTTACTCAATGATTGCACACACTTGAGATATTAAATATATCACCTCATTTAATGGAAGCAAGAGAAATTGGTTTTAGATAAAGATAGTTAAATTTTTTTTAGGAAAAAAATTTCAGAAATTCATGATAACAATGACAATTTTTTAAGTTTTATTTCTTATTTCGCAGCCAAATTGTGAAACAAAGTGACAGCGCAAGAAGTGTCCCTATTCAACCTTCTCCCCTTTGATCTTCCGTAGAATATTTAGCGTGATATACAGAAAAACTTTGTCAGCATATTTTTAACAATCTCTCTTACTTCTGTGACCCTCCAGCAATAAACAATAAGATTTAGTGACGAGTTGAAATAAACAAGACTGATGGCAACAAACTTTGCAATAGCTGACGTAGAATCAGCGGGAGAAAGGCTTAAGCGCAAAGTATATAACAACTGTAAAAGGTGTATAGCATACCACCAAAACTAGGTGAATCCACAATGCGGCTGAAACTGACTTCTTAAACTTCACCATGTTCATTCGAAAAGCTCTATTCTGTTGAGTCCAGGGAAGATTGCCCTGCACCTGTACTCGCACATGTGACTTTCTTAGCACCCAGTATATTTTTAGGTAACAAAATGTTGAGGTGGCTAAACACAGCAATACCAATACCCAGCAGATGACAACTAAAACACGAGCATTCCAGAAAGCTGTTTCTTATATTTTGAACAAAGGAAATGAAGAGGAAAATTTGGACTCGTTTAAAAGTCACGACATGTCTATATCTTAAACTCAGTGTAAGCGCAAGTAGGCGGTCCATACTGATTGCTGTAAGGACACTTAAAGACACACCACATAAATTACGCCGAAAACGTACCCTGCAACTCCTGGTAATTAAGGTGGCTAAACACAGTTTTCGCCTACGCTTTTGCTGATGCAACTCAGGATTGCAAAAAAACTAACATGCTGTCAATAGAGTGGTCATTTTTTTTATTCAACACGTACTCGCACTATCTGTGCTATTTTTCTTTATAGTTGGCGCAGCGTATTGAGGGCTTTAATCTTTTATTACAAAGATATGTTAGAAAAGTCAACGGTGCAAAGAACCCAGCAATTCTCAACTTTTTCATCTTTACCGAAAGAACCCAGTTAAATGCAGCGCATGCGTGGTAAGTAAAAAAATTGCGATTGAATGGAAAATTGCTTTCTCGGAAATATGCCTATTTCTTGAGAAACATTCATTAGAATTTTACGAAATTTGGCACAAAAATACTTTAGGAAACAAGTAACTGGAGTATTGAAAAAAATTGATTTGAAACAAAGGAAATTCTAGAAAATCGAATAAACCTTCAACAAGGGATAATTAAAGATCTCTCTGTTAAATTGTTAGCAAAATGGTGTTAACTTGTGAGTATCGTTACAAGCTCGTTGTATGCAAATTATAAAGGAAATCTAAAGACTAGATTTTCTACAAAGAAACAAAACCGATTTTAATTGCCTGTTTATTCTATTCATGTCACCATGGCAATGTCACATACGTCAGCTTAGTATCAAAAAAACAAAGTTTGTGTTGTTAACTTGCTTGCTGCCAGTTTGGCGACCGAGCGATCAAGGGTTTTAGAGAAAATGGTGAAAGAAACAAAGGTATCAAAAACTGTAAATTGGCCACCGTTACGGTTATAAAAGCTGACGTTTCGAGCGTTAGCCCTTCACTCCGACGAAGGGCTAACGCTCGAAATGTCAGCTTTTATAATATGGCGCGTATTTACGGACAAATAAATAAATGAAATAAATGTCGACATTCGTTGTTCAAAGCTTCATTATTGGTTCAATGTAGGACCCAGATCGACATTCAACATTCATACGGAAACGTTTAACATTCAAGCGAACATTCAATATTCAAGACAACTCGTCGTTCACACTAACATTCATTACTCGTACCGAACTTCTACATGCGTGCCAGACGATGACTATTATCAATTCAACTTTCATGTCGACATTCATTATTCATAAAAGACTGGGACCCAACGGTACCTGTAGTTTGGTTGAGGGAGTGGCGACCAAGCTGTTGATTTTTTCAAAGATGGAGGCCGATACCATGTAGATGCTAAGGAGTAGTCTACAGTAGTAGAATTCTCAATTTGGGTTGTCTTAAGATATTACGAAGTTGGGGATGAATGAATGGAGCCAATAATGGGTTTATTTCACAGAATGTTGATTTGGGTTTTCTTTAGACGGAATGTGGAAAACCTTATCAATTTGGATTGTCTCAAGGCTACATCATGGACTTCGAGATGTTTGAATAGAGACTAAAGTAGCCAAAAATAGGATCATTTCACAGAATTTTGAAACCTTTTTAATGTGGGTTTTCTTTAGATGGGATGAATTCGCAGAATGTGGGAAACCTTATCAAATTAGGTTGTCTTAAGATATCACGGATCAATGGAGACCAAAGAAGCCCAAATTAGGATGATTTCGCGGAATAATTTGGATTTATTAAAAACTAGATCATTGGATAATGCAATTCAAGACTTTTTATTGGCTTAGCCATTATGGTATATCAGCCAATATACCATAATCTAAAAATATGGCAAGCGTACGTGTCAGCTTAAAATTAAAAGGGATCTAAAAATTTAATAACTTAATTTAACGTTTTTAATAAAACAATTATTCCACTCGCTCTTGTTGGATATGAGATGATTATAGCCAACTCGGCGCTACGCACCTCGTTGGCTACCTATCACCTCCTATCCAACGCGCGCTCGTGGAATAATTGTTAAATATCTACAATTCATATCTAANCACTTTTAAATGCGCTCGTGCACGATGCAAAACGTGTCCTTTCATTCACAACACTGAGAAAATATCGGGACCCAAACGATCCATTAAGATCACCGATCACTTCACGTGCACCTCCGCCAATGTAATCTATTGCATAACTTGCACTTATTGCAAAAAGATTTACATCGGCGAAACAGGCAGAAGACTAGGTGACCGATTCCGAGAACACCTTCGCGACGTGGAGAGGAATGACAAGGACACATCGAAACCAGTCGCTAGACATTTTAATTTACCTAATCATTCTAAGCAACATATGGCAATCTGCGGTCTTTCCTTACACTTAGGTAGCACGGAAAGCCGTAAAACTCTTGAACAAAAGCTCATCTTTCAAACCGGCAGTCTAAATCCCACAGGTATCAACGAACGCTTTTCATTCCACTAATTTATTCGTGTTTTTCTCGTTGCCATGTTCCCACCAATCACGTAGCTCCATTTTCTGCCTTTAAAAGCACACACAACCCACAATTCCTCTATTCGCTCCGACGAAGGGCTAACGCTCGAAACGTCAGCTTTTATAACCGTAACGGTGGCCAATTTACCATTTCAACTTTGTTGATATATTCAAATTATTTCGTTACCCCCACCCACGCAGCGCCAAACAGTTTCTTTAGAAACCATCAGCTTTTATCAAAAACTGTGTTCAGCCACCTTAAGTAACAGAGTTTCCAGTTTTCGCCGGCTTTTGATAAATATTAAGTTACACTAATGATGGGCGAGACCAATATCCCTACCAGGAGGTCGGTGACCAATATCCCTACCAGGAGGTCGGTGACCAATATCCCTACCAGGGGGTCGGTGACCAATATCCCTACCAGGAGGTCGGTGACCAATATCCCTACCAGGAGGTCGGTGACCAATATCCCTACCAGGAGGTCGGTGAATGTCAGGACTCGTTAGAGGAGTTTAGTTGGCGGCTGAAAAGAAGATTCTTTCTTTAACGCACACTTACGATGATAATGTTTCCCGCGAAAGCAGAAAGAGCAAGAAGAAGGTGAACAATGGCAAAGGTGCACTGGACTAGTGACCAAGAGTGTGTTTCATGCAAAAGTCGCGAGCAGAACATCTCTTAAATAAAGCTTTCTTCTTTCCCTCTTCTCTTTCACTGAAATTGTTCATCGTTAGTTTCTGTAATTTAAGCCCAAACTGATTGACGGGTGTAGATCTAGAACTTCCACAAACCGTTTTATACCGAACCTCAAAACACCGCCTCACTCGAACTTTGGTTACTTAGTTTGAACTGTTAATAACAATGCTGGGATATATATTATCTATAAAGACTTCTAGACATAATTTAGGGTGTAGTTGAATGGACGTCTGTTCCATAAAGACTTCAAAAAAATTTGATCCTGACACCCTATTCAGTCCTGCAGTACGTTTATTTTCTGGCAGAACAGGACGTTATAAGTTCAGGCTAAGTCCAGGTTGATGGTTACGTAAAGAAAGAAGACTGAATCGCGTTCAAGTTATTCACTGAGGGAAAAAAAGCAGAAAAAAATTTCAATTCTAATAAAGCAGCTGCGACTTTATACAAGCCGAAACAATGGCATAGAGTTGGTTGGGAAATGAAATATTGATTTCAATTTGAACCTACAAGTACCTTTCAGTTTCAGCAATGGGTTTCAATTTCCAATGATCGAAAAGGTGCTAAAAACTAATGGACCGATCAGTGGGATGCCCGTCACTTGCCTATTAGAGAAATCAAGATTATAAAAACCTTATTTATCTGTGTGTAAGAAGAAATTGAAATGAACTGTCATCCTTTTGGCCAACGCACCTTCTAATTAAACTATGAAGGGCTAACAATTATATTTTTTAATTAAAAATCATTCCAACCCAGGATGAAATTATTTTGTATTGTTGAGGCCCCTTAGTCAATTTGTCTTCAAACATCCTAAACCTTGATTAATGAAGACTTCAAAAAGTCAACGTCTCCTCATTATTTTCCTTTCATTACTGCTGGTGTTAAAATTTAACATATTAGTCGGACATACCATTTCAATTATTTACCGAAAGTTTTATTACGTGTAATATCTTCCAATTATTGAGTTTAAATATTTTATATGTGTACAATGGATCCACACAGGTAATACAGGAACAATTATCTTAGGACAAAAAATATCTATATCCGGGTACAGAGATATTTTTCCAGCGCAGAATAAAATTTTGAGGACAAATATTAGAAATGTGCGGAGTTTGCTCCCATACTTCCTTGCGGTAGTACTCCAATTTTGCATGCCCTATGATTTTCCTGTCTGCCTAAAACAAATATGGCATTGTAGATTCCCTCGTTCTGCTCCGGCAAAATGCGGATTTTACCTAGAAAACAGATTAATTTTTTTTTTCCCCAGATGTGGCTTGAAATTGAGTTTTCCTCTGAGTACAGCTGATTTTGAAAATGAATCATTTGAACCGAAGAAGTTCTCTTAAGAAAGTTTGGACTCGTTTATGACAGGTAAGGAAGCAGAAAGGAGCTCTTTCTTTGTCCTGAAACGAAACAAAAGTAGTCATTATGTTACTTTTGGAGAATACAACACAGTACGCCTATGTATTTGTATGGCGTATGTAGGCCATCACATAGTTACGTATTAGTAAGGTTGTGGTCACCAAAGGTATCATAATCTTGGCTGAGATTAAATTACAAGTACAAGTTCAGTTGTTGCGCCATTTGTACGTCGTTTGTGTTGGCTTTTTGAAGTTACTCATTTGTTGTTTATCATCTAGCTGGAGATCATAAACAGTTTAAAGTGTCTGGCTTATAGAGACTCCATGCTCTTAAAGAGTCATGGCACATTGTACCTAAGTAAAAATTGATTCTCATGTGTTATCTCGGTTTGTGTTGAAGCGGATGTGGACACGTTTTTAATATTCAAAAGCTCATCATTGCCTCAAAATCCATGTCCTAGAATAGCCCATTTCCGAATTACCCTTGGCCTCTTTTTCAAAACGAGGCCTGGTGCTCAACTATTCTTGTGAAAATTAATTTAATTTGCATGAGAATGAAAACTTATTATCATATGAAAGAGTGAGCACCAGGACTCGTTTTTAAAATGAGGCAAAGGGTAATTCGGAAATGGGCTCTTTGTATACCATTTCCTTGATTGGCGGAAATGTAGAAAGGGTCCATCGTGACTGAGGAAAAGAAGTCTTCACAGATAAAGTGAGATGGTACAATAAGCAAATTAAAATAATATAAGTGTTGGTATCTAAACTAAAAGAAAAAGCGAGAGTATTCAAACCCATCACGTGACATATTTGGCTGTACCGTGAATCACGTGTACTGTCTTAAAGCAGTATATAATTGCAGTAGTGACCAGGTGACTTACTCGTCAGATTGGAAGACTACAAGGTTAGTTTGCTTCTGTTCCTCTTTGGTAAAAGAACTCTAATCCAAATCTACAGGTTGTTTTAGTATTTCCTGTTCTTGTTTTAACAGGTTATTTAACTTATTCTCATCGCGTTTTTCTAGCAGATACGAAGCTTTGTCTTTAAAAAAATCCTTGAGAAAACAGGTTGAAAGTTTAAGCACATTCTGGTTAAGCGGCGAATTCAATGAAATTGTACTAACTCTCTCGGCTTATATATTTTTTAGGTTTACTATCGATAACATTTGGTATTTTTAACCTTTATTTAACATTTGAAGGAAATAGATAATATCTGATAATGGTAAGTATTACCTAAGCCAGCGGTTCAGTCTGTAATTAAGGGTCATATGGTATGGTGTGATTAATTTCTGTTAAAAGTCCCTACATTCAATATTGCGAGATTTAGCTGTTGGGGTGGAAAGAGGTAGGCCTTTGACTTGAGTTGTGTTCGGAAGAGAAATTGATATAATGAACCAGTAACTGCAAGCATACAGGCGTGCGATTTAATTAAGCTTGCACGAGCGACAAATGTTATGCGTAAAAAGGAGCAAAAATTAGGATGTGGCGTCTTTTTGTATTTTATCGCATCAAGACTGATGATAAAAAAAGGAAAAAAACCTAGAAGAGTTTTCCTAAGTAAAAACTCTCTCGTGGCTTTGAAGGGGTTTTTCCCTCATTTTCATGCCGTTTCTCAGTTATTCAGAAAAAAAGCTCTACACGAAAATCAGCGAAATTGTAATCATGCTTACTCACCCAAAGGTTTATATCAAAAGGCACTGAAAAGCCAACACTCGTAGCCATGATTCAGCAAGACGAAAAATAAAACAATTAACCAGAATCTTCCAGCCGGTGACATGTTCTCAACTTGTATTCATGTCACACTCAACGTGCGCACATCAGCTTTAGGCAGTATAACAATTTCTACTTAACCTTAACCGCTTTAATTCATTCATCATTCTTCGTACAGATTTCCATCCTCTACACCTGTAGAAAAATGAAATTTCAAATTCTTATTCGACTTTACAAATGTCTCTTTATGACCCTCTATTATCCGAAAAAGATAAAAACAACCCTCCATTGTCAGTATAGAATGAAGATACTTTTTGCTCGCCACATGTGCAGCTTAATCTATCACAAGATTATACATTGGGCTTTCTTTGGTACCAATGAGTCTAACGATAAAGTTAAGTAGTTGAGCCCTTGTCCTACTAATTGGTGTCTGAATTGATAGATAGATAGTTTATTTGTAAAAAAGCTTGCAGCCAGTAAGCTGAATTGTATATTTACAGGCAATATAGTATAAAATATAATATAACATAGTAAAATAATATATAAAATAATATCTTATAATAGTGAGTATAATATAATGATAGTGATAAAGTCCTAAATAAATAATAATATCCTATAAATATAATGAAAGCTTGAACTGTTAAAATATATACAACGTCATCGATCTCATTTACAAAACTCACCGAGCACTAATATTCGTTGTTAATACATGATCTTACTAAAAAAACTATTTTTGAAACGCTCGGTCTTACATTTAGGAATCGCAAAACGCCTTTTGCACCGGAGATTATGTTGACTAAAGTTTGATTGAAGTTCCCCTTAATGAGTAGATACGCATTTTACAATTAACTTCAATAATGTTGGGTTAACCTTAACAAAAAGTTGCGAGACGTGATTAGTTTCTCGGTTAATCGACATTGAAGAAAATTCAATTGAAGATAATTTTGAAAGCTATAATGACCAAGGTTTTGCGAGGAATACATCTGCTCGACATGATATTTAATATCTTAAATCTTGCTTCGTTTTCGCAGGCTAAGAATACTTTTGGCTTTTGCTTGATCAGCGTAAATTCTGAAGTAGTCTAAATAACGGAGGGAAACTTCCAGATAAAGCGAATAGGAAGGTTACTGAGGAGCGTCGAGTCGAACGAGATAGAATTTAACCCTAAGCCCTAAATGCTTCCCCCCCTCTTGCTAATAGTTACTCTAATATAATATTTTAACTTCATTTTATTTTATTTTATTTTGATTTTATTTTTTATTTTAATAATATATAACATACATTTTTTACAATTTTAAATTGAGTTTAGGAGCGTGCTGTTGTTACAGAAGTCGCTCCCTCAATTTTAACACCTAACTTTTATGTTCATTTTACACACTCATTCCCACCCTTGCATACGCTTTGTTCCTTTTTTACCCACTGATCACGAGATTGCTCATCAGTGGAGTGGGAACCCATTTTCATGGGATCCCATACATCAACACCAAAGGAAGCCACAAAGGTTGCTAGTGAAAATACTGATTAATATATTTAATACTATACAAACGAACGAGATAGAAATGATTTTGACGTGGTTCAACATAATGAATTATGTTGTTCCCCATTGAAGCCTCTCCGGCTATTAAGCCTCAATATCTAGATTAAGATCACTTTTGAGGATTTATTGTTGAAACAATATCACTACTTAATTTTACCGATATCAATATCTCAAAAGGCCTTGATGGTGGTATCATTAATATTTTGTCTCGATGAGAAAGTTGGAGTAGCCCGAGCTTAAGATTGCTGTTTCGTCAAGCAAGAGTTGTAGCAAGAGGAAGGGGGAGGCTTCAGTGCATTTGATTCCTGTTTCAACAGAAAAAGGTGATGATTTATTATATTAGAGCAACCCGGCATACCCTTGAAGACCACTGCAACGTTGCTGTCGCCGATTTCCCCAATCCCCATCCCCGTCCCCTTTTTCCCTACGCCCCGTCAAGTGTTACTTTTGTTTAATTAAGACTTTTGTATCGATCATTTATTGAAAATTTAAGTCCTAAAACTCCACTTGCCTATGCAATTCTAAGCTACAAGAGCCTTGGTAAGCGGAACTCCTCACTAAAGCTCGGTAAGGCGAGGCAATGAAGTAACAAAATTAGTCACTTTTCTTAGGTTATGCACGAAACTTGTATGGTTCTGAAGTTTCCAGACTAAAAAAACTAACCAGATACATCCAATGATGATATACGGGGGAGGATGAGGGCTCTTTTTATCTAATGTGAAAATGTTAGCTACCATAAATATCTGTGATGAGTAGAGAAAAAGACACCGCGTTGACTGTGTTCAATCATGATAGTATTTCGTTCAAAGAGATCCTCTGTACCCCAAACTCTTTTAACAAACAATTTTTCTCCACTGATGCCTTTATTTTGTGGGTCAAGGATGTCATCTCGTAGTTTCGCACTTAGCAGTCTATGCACTTAGCACTTACAATCTATGGTTTCAAATACTTTCAAAAAGCGCACACTGTCATATCGTAAATCATTGCGAAGAAAATTTGAATCAAAGTTGAACGCAAATGTTTTGAGGCAGACTTTTGAAAGTATTTTGTCTTTGTCGAGTTTTGATATGTTCCGTATTTTTACCTTGCTAAACAGAATGAATACCAAAACGTCCGTTATCCTCATTCTCGCCACGGCCCTGGTGACTACGATCTGTTCAGCCAGCGGAGGTTTAGAAGAGGACATGCCCTACAAACAACTTTTTCGTGAACTATGGAGGAAAGAAAGTAGCATGCAGGGAAATTTTGACGAGGTATCTCGGGAGGGTGTTTTCAGATTCAGAGTCATTCTTTTGTAAACTAGCTCACCGTTTGAGAACTTTCCTTCTAATCACTTCTCCTGAATTCTTGTCTATTTCTATAGGTCACCAACATTAAGTCGAAGAGAACCGAAGACTGCGACTTAATTTACCAACCATGCTCTGTTGCAGTGGATTGTGAGATTTCTACCTGCGAAGGCCAACCCCTTCAATGTTATTATGGCGAATGCGGAAGACAAGAAAGCTACTCATACAAGCGATAATTCAGGCTTGCTCCCAGATCACTAATCTATCGCTTGTTTACTATTGTCTCGTAGTAAATCCTTCAAATTCAATTAAATAATAAATGCACAACAAAATAGTGTGTTCAAAACAATTGCGTTCAAGCGTGATATGCCCCATCCTCTTTTTCTCATACACTTTCCCCTCGTCCCTTTCGTATTCTTTTAGCAATGAAACACCATAATTAACACCGTTGTGCCGATTATTAGGAAGTGTATCGTCATTATCTCAATCCTACAACTCTGTGCAATGGCAATGAAAGAAATTTAAAACCTTGCCGACATCCGTAATTTTTAAGAATTCTTGCTCATGCAGGAATTAAACCAGGCACCTTCGGTCTTAAGACAAAAATTGAGCCGTCTCTAGGTATTAAAACAAATCCGAAATGAAAAAAGAAAAGAAAATCGGTAAAACAAGTGATGCTGCAATGTTTCATATGAACTTGAGCGAAAAAAACCTTATTTCAACCAGCCTATAATATCCATGCAGTGATAGCACTGTTTGTTTCTGAAACAAAAAATTTGAATTAAGCCGGTGAATTTATCGTGAAGTGAATTTCTACACCTCTGTTATTTAGCGCAGCGTAAAATAATAGAAGTTTCACGACTTGAATCTATACAACCTGCATCCGAAAAATTGACTGAATAGACTAAAATTACGTGTCGAGACCTGGGGTTGTTCAGAGCACAAATGAGCTCTCCTGTATTGAACCGGGGACTTTCAGATCTTCAGTCTGACGCTCTCCCAATTGAGCTATCTCGGCACCAGACGCCTAAATGGCGTTCAGCTGAACATTGCTCACGAATTCTATCACAACAACAAGAATACATATATTCAAACACATTGCAATTGCTGAGATCATATCTACAATCCCTGCAATCTACCAGTTCCAATAGACCGTTTTCACTCGCGCTGAGCTTTGTAAAATTATTGGGAAAAAAGAACCGTTGTTTGTATAGTTCAAGTCCCTCAGGACTACTAGTCTTTACAGCTTGTTATATTCAGTGCGAATTAGCGCAATTATAATCGGTAAAGCCTCCATTCCATATTGCTGATGAAAAATGTAACTAAATAGAAATTTGACAAAGACTGATAAAAGTAAAAAAATGGCGGCTCACAAAATGGCCGTTCTGACCGTTCTGACCGTTCTGGATGAGAGCCAGAAAGAACGTATGTTCAGTGGTTACAAAGAAATAAACGTTTTCAGATTCGTTTATCAATTAAAAAGTGACCTAAACAACGAGACACGTTTTTGAGATCTTGTGGTGATTCATATAGTGACTTGACTCGATAACTGGGAACAGAATTGCAAACCTGGTTCATGATCCTAGTTGAGTACCACTGAACCTCAGTGTAACGCAAACTCTTAAAAGCAAAATTCATTCTTTCGTTGGCCTTCCTGTTAAAAGCTTAGAGGGAAAACGTGCGGCATTTCCTAAAGTAGACGCCACAGATACTATGAATTCGTTCGATTACCTTGCCTCAGTAAGTGAACCAGGATGTTTGATCGTTAAGTAACTTCCCCATAATTTTTGAGCGTGAAAAGGGTTGTACAGGACAGCATCATCATGGCCAGCCAATATTTATTGGGTTCGAGAGCCTTAAAAGAACAGGTATTTGATTTTATGTTATTGGGTAGGTTTTATGTATCATTTAAATTTTTAAAATAACTCCTCTTCTAATGGTTTCACTCTTTCATTTGCGCTCAAAGTTCTCTTAAATCAGACGAGGTCTTTTCATTCTGTGACTGAACTTAGCAAAGTTGGAGGCTGGGAAAAAATTGGTTTTTCTTCAGCAAATAAAGCTGTCTTTTGTGTCTTCAGTAAAAGTGAAAAATTAGGGACTGGTTTCCGCCCATCTTCGATAAAACGGAGAGCTTCAGCTTAAAACAAACTATGATTAAAATGATGGAGATGATCTTTGGATTGGGTTAATTTTATTAATTCAAAGCTAGATTTTATGCCTTAAAACAACACAATGAAAAAATAAGTCCATCGTCGTGTAATGCGGTAAATCGCTTTAGCACACCATTTCTGAAACAAAGTTGATTTATGTTTTTTTTTTAAAATTCGGTTCTCGCTAATTGCTTCATTTTTAACTCAAAATAGTGTGCACGCAGGCCGATTCTTTGAGAGCAAATAGCTTTTATCCCACCAAAGAGTAACCCTGTAAAGAGGTGTTCCTTAATCGCAGTTTGCTTAAATTAGTTAAACCTATTTAGTAATTGACTCCACGTGTCCATAAAAGCATTAGACAGTCTTCAGGAAATGGCAAAATTCCTAAATGTTATTTACATATGAATCAAGCTAGACTACCTTTGTAGATGTTAGGTGTGAGTTCAACCATGTAAAACCGCCCATGAACTAAATACCGCCCACAAAATTAACATGCACCCGATCTGCTTTCGAGATATGAAAATCTGATGCAATGATGAATCTTTTCAAATCCAAGAACCAATTTGGCGCAAAGCCACTTGGCGTTGCTTTCTGAGTAAACACTTTCTTCTCGAGATGAAGAGCAGGATAAAAGATACATTAGTCGTTTTGTGGTGGGAGCGAAGGCGTAAATGTGTTTGCTGACATGGAACGTGCTCTTCCGCACTGTCAATTTATCCAAATAACGACGAAGCCGAAACAAGTCAGACACCCTTCAAAAAAGTCTCGCTTTTTCTCCTAACGAAAGGCAATCTTGAGTCACAGCTTTCTATAAGATTGGATTTTTTCAGCTAAACTTTATCAGCTAGTCCATGATTGGGAAATAAGCGGCTTACGGATTGGCATGAAAGCGACGCGCTGAAAATAATACCGTGCTTGCTTAACTTGAGCTATTTCGAAACCATTAATAAATTAAGCAATCATGAGCTTGATGAGCTCAAAAAAGTTTTATGAAAGGCCAAAATTAGAACCATTACTAAGTGGGTCAAAACTATAATGGAGCGAAAATCTACAAGATTGTTTTATTGATGGAATTATCGCGAAAGATAAGGGGCTCCTGGGCGCCGGATCTACCTGCGAAGATTTATTATGGTGCAAACAATTGAAATAACACTTTAAAACCAAAACAGGGAGATCCAAATAAACGGTGTTTTCCTTGTTAAAGATACAGTTGTCTCCTGGGTGGTCGATTGTTTCAGGTTAGATAACCTATGAAGGGGAAATATAGGAGGCGAGCCAATAACGCGGGAACACGCACCATGTATTGAAGAGGATAATGAACAAACACAACTTCTAGCGCCACTTAAACTAGCAAATCCATTTTGTTTCCTTTTGTTTCGCGCTGACTTTTAAGCGGAGTGAAATTAGAGCCGACCAAAAGCCAGCTGCCACATCAGCGAGGCTCCCGAGCTAATTTGCGCAAATTACTTTTCAAATTAACATCCAAAGAATCCGCAAATGTGCATTGCTGAAACAGAGCGCTTTTTACCAACAATCTATCGGTCCTTTCGCGAACGAAAGTACACTTCTGTCGATGAAGAAGTTTCATTTCGTCGGTTTTTCGACGGAATCCGTGTAGTATCAGTTTGCAAACACATATGGCGTGAAACCTCAAAGGAAAAATAACCGTCTAGATTCTTTTTAATGGACCGGATTTGCTTTACAGTTGTGGTTTTTATCACTAAAATTACTTTAAGCGATTTATAGAACGGCAATTAATGAGTTTTCCTAGGCAGGCCACACATTTTGATCGACTCATACTTGTTTAATAGCCTGAGGGACAGTTTGATTAATCCTATTCTCTCAAAGGGAAAGGAAATCATGCTAATGGACATTGTGAGTACATGCTTCGATGCTTGGGTCCGTGGATTGTCGAAGCGGAAAGCTAACCATAGACTCACAAGTGCCAATTGACTGACAATTACTTAATGTTCCTTAGATAAATACATCGAAGCGGCATTATTTGATATGTGAATGAGTCTATCCACAATACATAAATATGAAATAAGTAACCGCCAACTCACTGTTCTTATAAATGGTTTGCATTGTGTTGAGTAACAAAATCAATTTGTTTGTGTCAAACTTGAAATCAGGAGTGAATTGGTCCATCTCGTTACATTTAAATCGATCCTCATAACTTTTGTCTTCGCCCCAAAAACACTGTACCACTTTCATACTATTGTTTTCCCGGCCGAGAAAAACCAAATTACTTGTACATATTTAATGGCGTTTAACAATGGCTAATGGTTTTCGGCTATTTATCCGGAATGCTAAAACCATTTGTCAATTTCCCTTTTATCTTCCCTAGGCGGAGAATACACGCGCCGACAAAGGAAATGACTTATCTTGACTTTTCTGTATTTTGTGTTTTAATAGTTAATTGAATTCCATTTTCGATTATCTGAAGATAATGATTACTAATTGACACCCTTTCGAGTAATGATATAAACTAATTGTGTAATGATCACCGTTAATTTAGCTGCCCTGGGAGGGACAGATACAAAGGAATTAGCTCTTGTACATTTGTGCACTCAGTTGTATCCCTTTTACGACGTTTGCATTGAGCTTTTCTGGTTGACGTCTGCTTGCAGAGCTTTTTGGTATCAACTTAATAAGCTCTGAATGCGTATTCAAACAAGGGAAGCCCTGCAACTGTCAATCAACTAAACGACATACTGTAGCCGTAACAAAGAACACAAATAAGGTAGCCATCTGCTGCGAAGACATTTCAAGCGATCCGCACATCTGCGAAGGCAGAAGCACTCATCTAAAGGAAACACCAACATCATGTTTTACCAAGACCCTTTCCTGCTCTACCAACAACCGCCATTTTGTCACGGCAGTTCGAGTGCGAGAAACACGCCAGGCCGTTCTTCTTTTAGGATCGACGACATTTTGGTCCCACGTCAACCTTTCCTTGTTCCTAAACAGCCAAGTTTTCAGGAACCTAGATCTTCTGTTCCAAACAACAACTCGTTAAAATTTGGTATGCACTCCATTCTCACGCAAAGGCAGCGAGAGGACGTTCCAATGTTTCAAGGTGGGTTGATTGACTTAAGCCCCATTTTGCACACGTCACACCAAAACTGCTCTGTGAATCCATCTACCTTAAAATTCCACTTTCAACCTCTATCACTACAGTTTTACTTGTTAGGCACCATAATGTGTTAGCAGATAAACCCTTTGCACAGTTGGCTTGACAGAGTCGAGGAATACTACAATTTCTCCTTGAGCTACATAGCCATCAAATGTGTTTGCTAATTAAGCATTCTGTACTGTTTTTGTCACATGGAACTTCTCTCAATGTCTTTCTTGTCAAAAGTTAACATTAGCTGAACTGCGCCTGAAACAATCATCGGAAACGTTCTTTCGTTGTAAACGATGAGAACTCATTTTTTTTGTCCTTATTCAACGGCGTTTTAGAATAAAAAACGTCAATGGTGACAATTTTTTTCCAAACTGAATCAGAATTGGCGGGAAACAATTTCTATTGGTGTCAACGAGAGAGACACTTTCAGATTGTCAGCTGCGATTTCGAAAGAAACGTTCTCAATTGATAAAACACAAAGCTTTCTTTTTAATTTAATCGGAGTAATTCATTTGAACAGATCTCAAAGAGCTTGGGAACTTCGTGGTTTTCAATCTAACACAATATTCAATGGACGTGTGTTTCTGCTTAAACCATTGCGTGTTCCCTCAGTAAAACCAGCTTCCACAGACATAACATCTTCATTGAATCGTTATTAAGATAATCTAATGAAGCGGCAGTGAACACACAAAAAAAAGGTAATTAAGATTAAAGGGGAAATCCTCAACTTTGTTGTTGTACCACAAAGTAAAAAAGGAATGCGAGGCCACGGGAAATCTACTATACGAATTTAGGCACTTACATTATACAAAAAGTAAAGGAAAGAAAGAACAAAGAAAACGCCGCTTGTACAACTCTATCGGCCGACAAAATCCCAAGTTTAGTTTACACGGAAGATGTGCCTGAAATTAAACCGTTTGAACTGAGAAAAAAAATATACCAAAACTTTTCAAAACTGATAGATTTGAATCAAACCGAAAAAATGCGCTCAGGATTTGAGATTTAGGTCGCCAGTACTACTTCCATACATTGAGTAATATCGCAAAAGTAAAAGAAATTCATTGAAACGACAAAAACAAATTTCTTTGTCGACTCGAAATGAGATGCTTTTGAACCCTAAGATGAGCTGGAAATTTTGGGAATTTTTCCTTTAAGGGGTGAAATGATTACTTGGTATCTTTCAAAAATTAAAGGAAATTTTAAAGATTGACAAATTCTCTGCAAAATGCGAAAAATCTTGAATTCAATCGTGTTCGCCCCCAACACGATTCTTTGTATCTTGAGCAAACGGCTTTGGTTCACCTGTTCTGAGTATAATGTTACAGAACGAAATTTGCTTGTTTTCTGTATTATAGCATTAAAACAAAAACGGCTTTAAAATCCTTTTGACAATAGCTTATCCTTTGTAGTTTACTCTCATAACTACAATTCGTCAAGGACCTTATGCCTCGAGAACCTATGCAAGGAAGCATATCTGCCAAAAGCTGTAAATCAAACAGAGTTTTCAAGCACTTCAATCACCGATCATTGGCTACTTTCTTTTGTTGTAGCAAAGCAACTCTTGAAATCCTGGCTGCTTTTATTCCTTTGTCAACACGTTTCAAGCATTTAGTATTCTTTATTGAGCCAGAACTGTCCTTTCGTCTGTTGACGTAATAGTTCTTCGCTCTTTTACAGATCCAAGTCCTGAAGTTTTAAGCCAACTGCCGGTGTACTTCCGCGTAAAGCCGACTTTGCGGACACCGAGCGGACGAAGATGTCGCAAGTCGCGCACGGTTTTCACAGATCTGCAGCTCCGTGTTTTAGAGAAAACATTCTCAGAGCAAAAGTACTTAGACACGTCGAACCGCGCAAAGCTTGCACAAACGTTGGGATTGAACGAGACGCAAGTAAAGACATGGTTTCAAAATAGAAGGATGAAATGGAAGAAGGAATCAGTTCCAGAAAATAATCAGGAATCCTCAACGAGTACAAACGAAGACTCAAATGCACCAAGAAACGAAAAATCCGATGAAATCGTCACAGAGGCCGGAAAAGACTCCATGGACAAAAAGGTAGAATGAACAGCAAAGACAAAACTTGGAAATTAAACTTTGTAAATATCCGCGAGAAATATCAATTTCAATTCCATGAGAGTCAAGACGGACAAGTATGATATTGGAATTTAATATAATGTTTCTTACCGAAACTCATAATTATGAATTTATCAAAAATAACTGAAAACCAAGGGAGAAAGTCAAGGTAGCTGCTCGCGCAGAAATTTGACGGGTGATTTTTCAAAACCAGGAACTTACATGTACAGCTGGGACAGTTTATTTTGAATGTACTTGTAACTAGTTGATGTAAATAATACTTTCTCTCGGTGTAAAACTTTTGCATGGTTCTGTCCTATTTCGCGTTCGCTTGTCTTTCGTCTTAATTCTCACTGAAAAAATATTAAAATATATAGGAAAACAGGTATTCCGATATTGACTGTTTCAGTTACGTTTTCTGGGACAATACAGAGATTAAAGAAACTGGTGAACAGAGCGGGAAAGAGCGTCTTGGCCGCGAAACTTTTCATTAGAAATGTTCCTTTAATGAGAGGCGGTAGTGTGACTGACAGCCACGATGCGTTAATGGCGAAAAAAGGCACTAATTGCTGCCTATTCTACTCTCAGGAAAACAATTATAGCCATTTGTCATAAAATGACAATAATCGTAAGCTTTTCCGAATTCACTTTTTATTTCACGATGATAAAAGGGACAAGTCGATTGCCGTCTTTGAATGAACGAGGCGGTGATGGTTGGATGAATCGTAGTCTCTTCTTGAGACCAAGTTAACTTGAAAGTCGACTGCAAAGTTAACATATGCCATGAGTGATTTATTTATGGTAAGAAGATTCCAAGGATACATGAATTTGTGAAAACTGCCTTCTCCTTCGTAAAAAGATAGTCAAATAGACCAGACATTTTAGTCTGAAAATGGGTTTCCCACCCTCTCCGGTGCACTGGATGACAGAAGAGTGACAGTATGTCTATTTTCAAATTTTCTATTTGTCAAGTAAAATTTCGTTCTAAGCTTTGAATAAATTTATCATGTACATATTCGTGTCAATTTGGTAAAAACGACCGGACAAGTATGATATATTTCCGAACAGTGAAATTAAGTTGGTTCTTTATTTGTCTTCGAAGACAAATCTTTGCTTCTTTTTGAGGTTTCAAGCTCAGTCAAATTCGAGAGAACTGATTTGTAAAAAACACAAGACTGCCAGTTGAGACTAGCCCAGCCTTTGTCGATATTTTTCACTTGTTCAAACGTTATGGTAATAATTTTAGCGTTGCTACAGTGATTCTGAAGTAGTTGATCCGTTTCTGAGTGACCGTCTATAAAATGACATCGTTTTCTGGTTAAAATAAAGTTTCTGAAAGAGAGTAAAGGAAATGGCATGCCCCCTCCCCCTAGAAAACAATCTTTTGAAAAAAAAATAAAAGGTATTCTGAGTAATATGAATAGGTGATTAAATTTTGATAATCGAGGATCAAGTTTTCTCTCTGGTTATAGCTTAATCACTGTTATTTCTGTATTGGTTAACGGTGGGGCTGTGGCCTCTGTTTGTGTCTAATTATGGATAAAGACTCGTTCAGTTTGAGTGTAATCAGGCAACATTACTAAGAAGGAAACAATCAACGGAGTGATATTTTCCTCAGATATTTTTGTGTCATTGTTGTTGCTCTTCAGCACCGTCTATTTTGCTTTTTGGGTCTTGGAAACTTAAAGAACGGCTCAGTAAAAGATGACACATGATTGGCAGCCAATTGAATAAATCAAGTGCCTCCGAGGACCAATAAGAAATCAAGAATTTTAGACATTTTCCAGGTTTTTTTTTTTACAGAAATTTCGGCGGCCCTTTGCGCTTGACCGAGATTTCACTAATTCTTTGGCTGCTTACGTAATGTCTTACTCGAGTTTGTTTTAATTTTCGGCGCTTATAAAAAGATTGTGCATCTGGTTCCAAGACATGTTTTTATTGAATTTTCTTTCACCGATTACAGTGTTTTCCTTGGTTCAGTATATCAGTGCTATCTCCCTAGCTATGCACAGCTCCTCTTAACCCAAATGTGTCGCACTAGTAGAGTGAGAGAGAGAGAGAGAGAGAGAGAGAGAGAGAGAGAGAGAGAGAGAGAGAGAAAGAGAGAGAGACTTATTTCAAAGTTTTTTTTTTATTGAGAGTGATATCAGAACAGCTCTATCTTCAACAACTTCAGTACTGCATCAATTAAGCGGCACCGTTTGAAGGCACGAGAAGAAGTTGCAAATATAAGCTTAACCATGCATCCTCAGTTGTTTTTTGCCTTTACTTACTTTTATTAATACAAACGAGGATTCAATTCTTTTCAACCAATCAATTCAAAGCCATCCAAAAAAAGGATTATTTCCTTCATTACCATGAATTCCCTGTTTTGTCATGGCGTAGTTTTGTTATAAAATCTTGAGCAAACAACTAAAGATTGGACTACATTTTCTTCGCTGTTTTGACCAAATTTAATTATTCTTTCACTTCTTATCAATAAAGTTTCTAATCATAATCTGCGAGCATTAACGCTTATCTCAATTTAAATAAGACTTCAGAAAAGTCACTAATACCAAAGCCACCACGAACTGTAAATAAAACATCAAGTTTTGACTGAATTGATACCACAGCCGCCTTAAAAGCAATTATTATACATTGTAGTCTGTTTGTGTTCCCGACTGATGCACTGTAATGGACTAATTCCTTTATTATATTCAAACATCACTTCTTATGATGATAAGTTTAGGTCGCGAAAATGCTTCTGGTGTACGATTATCACCGTCTCAAGGTTTGATGATATCACGGTCGATTTGATTTTTTGTTTAAGCGGAGAGGGAGTACTCTACCAGAGCGTGGGTGTTGTTGAACGACGTGCCTCTCAGCCCTCAGTGATACCTTGATTCAATGAGACCGAAGCATACAATTCTACCTTTAATTTTTGACACGTCTCATGAAAATGGAAACCTTGGTTCAGACTGAAGTTGCTGTCCAGTGAAGATACATGATAACAAATTACTGCATGTTCAAAGTGCACATACTATAACTATATTTCACACTGAAGCGCGAGACCTTACGTATATGAGGAGCCGTGGATGTGTAAGCTTTTCGTAGTCCAAAGGTTAAGTCGCGTTTGATTCAGTGTTAAGACTTTTTGAATCAGTGATCCCCTAAGATTAAAAAGAAAAAGATGTACTAACGTACCGTCGAAAATCAATGGAACTAGCCCTTTTCAAAGAAGTCTCGATAACTTTCGGACCTTTTGCAGATAAGTCTTGGCTATTTTGGGTTTCCTTTCAAATTTTTCCTGATTTGTAGACTGATATGCAGCATACATGGAAAGAAACAACTTCCATTTCTTTTTCGTCCCGCCCACATCAATAAGAAAAAATCACGTCCTTTTTTAAAACAGTCTTAACTTCCTGTTTTGTTATAAAGAACCTGAAATAACTGCAAAATGCAGACACATTTGCGCCTCAAGAGGCTATCAAAACCAAAATGTAAAAAACAAATATTAGCTAAAAGGGCTTATATATTTTTAGCTGTTGATTCATTTCGAGTTCACCGTAGAAAGTCACCTCTAATTAGCTCGCCTTGAGAAAATAACGTAAGTCTACACTTACGTTCTATGATCTTTAATCGACTTTCCAGAAACATTCAGGATTTCTTCCTATAAAGCACATTCTGGGATGCAAACAGCAAGCACGAGGTTGATAACACTCAGTTAGCTGCCTAAGGCAACAAAAGCTGATGCTTTATGTTCATTCAAGTTTTGGTATAATAATGTGAAGAAATACACCTGCTAATCGACAGCAGTACTCTGTCGTTAAACACCCAGTGATTCTTGCCACTCTGAAAAGGTTCGTGATTTTGTTTATTGAGAAAGTTATTAGTAAATGCCTGTCATAGAAATATCTGAATGGAGAAACGCTTTGCCCTTCGCATGTGCGCAGCCACGTTATTTTTTTGACCGCAAGCCAGTTCTCTTTTCTTTTAAATCACTTCTCTAACTGGTTTTTACACCGTTTTAAATTCCTTCCCTAATTACTCTTGGCATGTAATAAGGCGTAGGTGGAGTGTGTCAAGACCGTTTACAAGAGGTTTTCAACACAAAGGCTCGATTTAATCCCATAAGAACATTCACAGGCATAGTTCAACAATAGCGGAATTATCCCGTCGCTGTTGACTGTTGTTAAAGTAAGGAGATATGTTGTTTTCTTTGAGCTCTGAGTTGGTCCTTTGAGGTAAATATTTAAAAACGTCGATGTCAAAATCTGGCGTACAATAATGTTGAAAAAATGAAAATTATTTGGAGCAGTTCAGTGAGTGTTAATTCGACCTACTGTCGATAAATTGATGTTTTTTTTCCCCTTTATTTCAAGGAGGTTGCTAAAATGACATTGATAGCTCATTAGTAAACTTCCTTTGTGAGATCATTGAAATAGATAGATGACTTCGCCCTTTGCCCACGAATTGTTACCACACTTTCCGCCTCCTTATCTTGTCTGCGGTTAAAGAAAACGTGAGCGCGCAGAAAATAAAGACATCATGTGCTACTACATATCGATCTCTCGTTGCGTGAGGTCCGCCTGAAGTGAACTTCACCGGCTGAGCCACTGCTAGGAAACAAAGGAGCCTGGTGTAACTTGCATGTACAATGTATGTAAAATAAAAACAAAAACCCACATGGAAACTGAAATGATGAACATAACTATTACTGAAGAAAGAGGAGCTTCTTCAAGACTGCACGTCGTACGATTTCATTCGTTCAGTCAGAAAATGTGTTTGATCTATGAAATTGGTAAATAGTTTTCCATCTTGCCTTTCTTTTGTAAAGTGCTTTCAACACTAAGTCAAACACTACTCAAAATATCTTGGTTAAAAATCCAATCATCTTTAACTGAAGGTTTTCAGCAAACACTTTTTAAAGCAAGGATGTTGCGTTATCTCTCAGAAAGTCACTTAAACTGATCAGACCGGAAAAATGAGGACAAGCAATTTTCTTTTTCAATCTCAAGTTGACATGAGGCACCATCTCACAATAATGTTGCGTAGTAATACTTTAATGCGGCTGACAACAGAACACAACCATATTATTTCATTGATATATCACAAATCAATAATTATAATGTTACTGAGCTCTGATTCTTTTTCAAAGAGTTATAACGATAATATCTTTTATTGTAACGAGCTGGATTACGGAAAAGATTTCATGTCAGCTGCTCTTTATTTGGAAACTACTGTAAGATACGATCAACGTATCGACTTTAAAATCCATTCAGCAAAAGATTTTTTAAAACATGTTCTTTTGACCAAGCACTACTGAACTGGTGTTTGTCCTTCAAACTCCGGTGAGATACATTTTTAGGAAGCTGAAAAGAAGTGAAAAGTATGAGTGCCACGTGTAATGGAAAAACTAGCCGCAATGATTTATCGGCACATTTGACAAAGCACGAACACCTCTGATAAAGAACCTTTTAGTCAACGTCTCCGTAGCTGTAAAACTCTCATAAATATTAAAAAAGGTCGTGAAGGCTTTATTTGATCTTGCGCACACTCTAACTACACAAAACATCTGCGTAAAGTAATTCTACATCACGAAATTAATTCACCGCCAAAAATTGTTTTCAAACGCCATTACACCTTGTTACAAAGAGTAACACCCTACACTTTGTTGCTTTTATCGTTCACGAGTTCTCTCTGCACTGGCTTTCTACTGGCAAAAGATGCTCCGTATGGAATATTAATTTAAGTATGTACTGAGAGTGCTTGCTTTGTCGTTGAAAAGATTTGAAATACCCACCAGTTGTTTACTCAACGTGTAGAATGCATTTTTTCAGTTGTTTCAGTTTCTTGGCTTCGTTATTAGATCTCGGTACCAAGCTACACCCTCAAAGAAATGTTTTTCCTCGTGATTCCATTGTTTTAAGTTCTAATTGAATTCTACCTTCGATTATCTTGTGATAATGGATTCTAATTGACACTCCTTCCGAGTTTATAATAAACACTAATTGAATAACGACCACAATTAATTTGGGTGGTAATGTAAAATAGTATAATAAAAACCTTTATGATCTGACCTTGAACCCAGCGGCACTTTTACAATGTCAATGAAAAGACAACTTCAGCTCCGTTTCGTAATTACATATGACATGAGGCTAGTTGATGCTAAATGCCTTTAATAAACGTCAAAACGGCGTTTTATTTGAACGAGATACTTTTCAACCTGTCAATCAACACAAAGGTGTTGTTCATGGCATTTTCTAAGACTCTTAACAATAAAGATATTCATTTGCCAACGATAGCAGTTACTTTCAACGTAAAAGCTCTCCGGGACCACATCAAAGTTAAACGTCGAGATGTTCAGGTACCAGGATTCCTTCTTAGCGGCAGTGTATCAAACACCGCAATACGTACAGAACAATCAGCTACTGCTGCCACCTCCACCTCATTATAGTTCTCACTTCATGGAAGAGAGCAGAATTTGTAACCCCTCACAGCCTTGCTTCATGGCTAAACAATCCGCAGCCTACAGTCAAGCCGCAGCTGAGACATTTAACTCGAACGTCCACGGATCTCAACTGCCATTTAATTTCGGATCTGACCAAAGAACACTGATCTCTCAGACCTCATCTGCCAAGCTGAACATCTCTGGTAAGCTTCGTTAAAATATACCTTATAAATGATTTCTAGATCTGTTTGACAGTGAATTAAGAACTTCTTGCCTTTTCTCCGTCAAATGCTAACTCTGTTACGACTTAACAGTCATTTGCGATCAGCCTTTAGTTTATTTGTGGTTTATCAAGAGCTCGTTAAATTTCGATTTTGTCATGAGATGCGGGCTACTGAAGAAAACTAGGAAATAATGGTTGATGATAATGCCAGGTGAACCATTTCCCCAGACATTTGATTAATGTTCTAACGCCTGGTCTTACTTAGCGCGTAAGAATGCTGTCAGAAACCAGCCCGTAGGTTACAGCACAGCGTGAACTCTAGAATGTCTTAACTAAATTTGGTGCACTTCCTATTAAAATTTTCCGTGACAGTTCGTGAAGGAATTTGTTTTCTTTCGCTTGTATTCTTAGAATCCATGAAGAGTAAGAGGAAGAAGTTCCTTACTCATTAGGTAGTTAAAAAGTATTTTTGAATCAGTTACTGATGGCACCAAAAAGAGAAACTGACTAAAGCGAGTTTTAAATGACCGTTTCATTTTCGTGTTGAAAAGCAAATAAACATGCTATTAAAAGCTCTCGTCCATTTGGCACTAAAGTTTTATAACCCTACGCAATGATTTTGTTATAATACGCTACAATATTTTGAATGATACAATGTATATATATGGCAATAGAAACTGATTAAAGATGCTTCAAACTGTGTTACCCAGTTTGGAGGCCATTAGAAAGCTTACCTAAATTGCTGAAATAGTTAAGTAAGCTTTTAAACGACTCTTGGAGGCTTTTATTAGCCACACAAGATATCCCTCTGAAGAATTCGCTTCCCATTATGGACTTCATTTGTTTTTTCCTAGAACCTTCTACCAATTCGGAGATCATGCACCACCCTATTCCCGTTTACTTCCGCGTAAAACCGAATCTACGGACTCCAAGCGGCAAAAGATGTCGAAAATCGCGCACCGTTTTTACGGATTTGCAGCTGCGTGTCCTGGAGAAAACCTTTTCAGAGCAGAGATACTTGGATTCAACAAATCGAGCAAAACTTTCGCATATCCTTTGCTTAAACGAAGCGCAAGTGAAAACTTGGTTCCAAAACAGAAGGATGAAATGGAAAAAGAAAGCGCAGAAAACGGAAAAACCTGATAGCTCGACCACGGCAAAGAAAACAGACAAAAGAGACCAAGCACTTGGGGAGAACGGACAAGTAAACACCAACAAATGAAGACGTAAAATTCCACAAAATTATTTTGAAGTAATATGCTAAAAAATACGATAAGAAAGGATTCGTAACTTAACCCTCCAAATCATTTACTGTAACTAATTATAGAGACGTGGAAACAGATACCAGTGTAACTTAGGCATGACAGCGCTAATTTTACGGAAGTCAAAGGAGACGTTGGGAAATTGGCAAAAGTGAAGTTACATTTTAGTATCAGATAAGAAATTATCAGTCGAGCTAATCTGCGAAAGAAGAACAAAATTAAAAACTCTTTCCTTTATCTGTGCTGGCGGGCCTTGTCTTTCATCTTTAAAAAGCAAATAATTAGGACACTTAAGAAGATCAGGTCACAACAGTTGTAAACTTCCAAAAATTACTGAAAAAAAAAGAAAAATTATAACGTATCATTCCTAGGTAGCTACACAAAAAATCAACTTTAGGAAATGGGGAATCATAGAAAACGCCCTTTCAGTCCTTAAAACAGTTATCACTCCATTGGAAGGGACTAAGACTGTTAGCGTGAGGGGTGGACGAAAGTCTGTTGAAGAGCGTTTGTAAATATCAGCTTTAGACGTTTCCTGATCTAATAAAATATACAAATGATGAAGTGATCAATGCCTGCAAAAGTCGGCGCGTAATTTTTGGTTAAGAAAGAAAAAGGAAGGAAAAAACTTAAATATAATCAAAGAGTAGAAAAGATTCGACGTGTTTTCATTCGATCCTCTTTGAAAGGGTCACAAGAAATATCACTATGGATATAAGTCGAAAACGACCCACATTAATCCCTTTTTATTACAGCTGGATCGAAGATCTAAATGAAATACAGAGAAACGTTTATTCGCGTAATGGACCCTTTGTTTACTAGAAAGATACAAAAAATGGTTGGCTGCCGCTATTCTTCAGAAGTTAATAAGACAATTTCGAACATGTGTGCCGGTTCTTTAATGTTCCCATGCAAAGTTAACGAGGTTGGCGATTGGAATATTGTTGAAAATAATTATAAAACCTCTTGGTATAGACACCAAGAGAACAATTTTGTGTCCGTTTTGAAAATTTCTCGATTTTAAAATCTAAGAACTTGCTTTCAAGTTGGCGTGAGAACTGGGGAGGTCTATTCAGCCTGTGTTTGTTTTTTTAACTAGAGTTGAATCCCTCAATGCACAAAACCCTTGTCAGTGTAGAGCATGTGTTGTATAGTCAGACTATTAAATCCCGTGTTCCCTGGGTGATAAACACGACTAGGATTATGGCATTTATTAATCTTTTGTGCACCTATGACAGAAAAACCCTAGTGTTGACTTAAAGATTAATGTAGGTTCAAAGGAGACTAAGTTTGCGAGATTCCTTGTAGAGGCAAGTCGTTTGCCAATCGTGCCTTTCACTTGGTTTACCCTCAAGATCTTTTAAGCCATCACACGCCGTTGAGCTCTTTAAATTAACCATTGCGTTAACTAGGGAGCTCCCCCATGGGGCACTTTCACTTAGTACCGAGTCCTTGACTTTAGTTCACAGAGGACTTTGTGAATTAGTTCACTTGGATGCATTATTTAATGAGAACAATAGACAAAGAAGCTGTTACCACACAAGCGAAGGTCACGCATAGTGGAACCTGTAAAAAATGTTTCATCGTTACCGAAACGCTTTGTTTCTTGTCGTTTAGCCAGATGTGCCTTTCTTCGAGAAAAAAAACCTTAGGAATTGATTGTCTAGTGGATTCTTAAGGGAAAACGTTAATCTCTTTCCTCCAGTATAGTCAATGTTTTTTTGACGAGCTTTTCCTGTTAACTTGTAAACACAAACAAAGCAAGGTTCCGTTCTCGTGAGATAGAGAAGAAATGGAACAAAGCACTTCCATTAAATGACTTTATCTTATTTCTATCTGGACTATATAACCTCGCAGGATCTTTACCAGACGACACTCAGCATCGACGAGTCCCGCAATTTTTCAATTGATGTTGTTATTGTTCTTGTTTTTTTCGTTGGTGTGGTAATGAGCTCAGGATATGAATGTATGTATGTATGAATGTATTTACGAATATTTATACAGGGTAGCCCAGTTTAGCAAATAGCTAGTTTAAATGGGGCCTTGTGAAACAATAACCACACCCCCGAAAGCTAAAGAATAAGGAGATAACTAAGGAAGGCGATAATAATTAATTCTCATTTGGTAAAATGACCAACTCAAATAATGAATGCCTGAATGCCATAACAAAAACTGAATGGGTAAATGAGTGAATAAATGAACAGAAATGCTGAGGGTGACGAGCAGAAGATATATTCTTTAAACAGTTACCTTAGGCTAGCCTTTAAGTAAAGAAATACCCCTGATCATCAAATAAATTCGTTAACTAATCAACATTTCTCATCTCTCCAACAAAGGAAACACCAAATGAATGGGTGAATGAATGAATGAATCAACAAACATGAGGTAACAAGAAAAAATATATGATATCAAGTTGGTACATGTACCGTTTCATTCGCTTAATCAAACAATTAATCAGTACTAAACATATGTGGACAACAAAGTTTGCGTTTATGCAAACTATTCATTTTAGCTGAGCCTATTTTTAATTTCTCTGTAAATGGGTAAAATATGCAAGTTTGCATATACTTTTGCTAGTATCTTGCGATCACATTTCATAATTTTTGGAATTCAAGATTTTTGCGAGTTATTTTTAAAATCCTTTGGCCGAAGTTTAAGCGACTCCGGCGTAATATAATGCTTTGTGAAATTTAATACCGAAGTGACAAATCGAGATGCCATTCAACTTTGTAGTCAAATTAATGATAAACCAATTTTTCTTTTCTTACCTAATCTGCTTCTACTCCTACTCTACTCCTGTATTATGTTCTTGATACTGTTCCTCACTTTTCGCCCTCCGTTTCGTAACGTCTGCAGAGATGTGCAGTGGATAAGTGTGGCCATGTTTTTATGCCTCAATCTGTATATCGCTTGCTCGCTGATTGAGTTGAAACGCTAAACTTTCTCGTCTCTTCGCTGTAATGTCAAAAGCGGTCAAAATATAAATAAACTGCCTTCTTGTTGAGAGAAGAATTTTATTTTAGTGTTTCTTTTAGGCAGATGGAGTTTCTCGCCGTGTTTGTCTCTTTTACGAGTTATCGATTTCGCGCCAAAAACGCGGCTGCAAGTTGCACCGATTCGCGCACCACCATGAATCATGATGGGGATACGGACTTTTCTTCGTATGTTTTCAGGCTGTTTTTTTTTCCTTTAACGGTTGATTCATTTGCTCATCATTTATTAATCGAAGTGTTGACATTTGTTCTAATTTCGACCCATGTTGTATAATCATGTTTAAGAGCAAAAGCGTACATCTTATCCATTAGTAGAAAACTGGTAAAAGTGAGTGGTAGTGTACTTCGTAAGTTAGACAAGGACATGTTCATCACCTTATGCTCTTAGGGATGTTCGTATTTACAAACGTTGCATGACAGTTCCACCATCTTTGTGGCAGGTAAGCCTAAGACGTGCTTCACAAAAGGCAGGGGTAGTGAAGTTGGAACTTACCCTCTCTTCGTATGTACCACCTTTTGCATAATGAGCAGTACCTATACACCATGCAAAGGTTTCTCCAAAGTTTTCATAGGAAATACATCGTTTAAGCCGAGAAAATTTAAATCAAATTTGAAAAACGATAAGGGCTGGTAACGCAAGGGGTACGAGTAATATCCCTTATCATACAACCCACCATCTCTCCCACAATTTGATTAACCATGCCTTGAAACTCCCATCATTTATCAATCAAACCATGATATCTTTTGCTTGTTAGGATAACGATTCCTGGTAATAAATCAAAATTTGGTCCCTCTCTCTTATGAAGGTCTTATTGTCCAACATCACACGGCAACAGCGCAAATAAAAACTCCTTTATTTACTGTACTTTCTCAAAGAAGGCAACCGTAAGGTTTCCTTTCTCTGGAATACTTTTACAACGAACATGATACCTTTTAACTATTTCAAGACCACACAACCAGCAACCACAATCGTCACGGGCCCTGAGACTTTCTTACTTACTATGGCCCGTTTATAAGAATTGAGTTAAGGTTGCAAAGTCCCTTCTATTTTATGGAGACAGGAAATTTACTTAACGATGTCCGGCAAAAAGAAATATAAAAAGCCTCTAGATCAACATATACTGTTCTCTTTACCCTCTAAAATTGACTTTCGGAGAAGATTGATTTTTAAGTTTACAGAATGTAATAATTTGTGACGTTCTCTTTTCTTTAAGCTTTTCGGATTTGCTCTTTCGTTCGTCAATGGTCCTCGCCGATCATTCAATTGATATTTGGAGTTAGGTTGTTTACTCCTTCGAAAACCTTCAAAAACGCATTTAAATGCTACCCTATTTGCTATTTATTTTCTCAAACTGGGACAAATGCATAGCATTTATTTCAGATGATACCATTTAGCTTGTTACATATCTGAAATAGTTATTCCTTAGAGAAAAACGAAATTCTCCTCACTTTTTTTTTGTATTTGTCTAAAGAGAGCCAGGAGAATTTGGCTTTGGATCAAAGCTTAAGAACATAATCAAACTCTTCACTCCCCTGTTAAACTAAGTTTCAATGGTTACATCTTATTTCCAACTGATCACGGAGGTACCTTGTACGAGTGTTAATAAAAGTTCATCATTTTGCCGGCTAGCTAATAACTGAAAAGAAACCTTGATATTAGTTCATCTCTAAAGAAGTACTAGCGTTCCACACAGTTCGTAGAGTTTATATAAAGCTTTCTCAAGAATACAAATCATATACAAGGGCGAAGACAAAATTTCACGGCCATCTTTAAACAGCGCTACAATTTGATTGTCTTGCAAATAAATACATACAGCATCGACAAGAAACATTACCCTTTTCTGTCCGATCACGTCGATAAGGCTAAAAATTTGCCGCTGTGTCAGTTCGATGTAAATGTTTCAAACTTTTGTTTTTCATATAGCATTATTACGTCGATCTACTTGTATCTCTCTCCTTCAGCGAAAATCCATCTACAACACATCTACATTCAGAGATGAAGCTGGCAGAAATCTGTTATGTGTTACGTTAATTATTACTTACGAATTTGTACAAGTGAAAAAGTTGAAGAAATTTCATAATAAACCTATGGACATCATAATTTTCTTTCTAGTTGTCGCTGCACGAAGGGGTCTCGTACACTTTCGGTACTTGACAGAATCGATAAAGACGAAAGTAAAATGAATAAAATGACTGATGAATAATTTGCAACTTCGTGGGCAGCTTTGTAACAGACCTAAAACTACTGATAAAATTTTCTATACTCGACTCTTTATGATCCAAAACAATTCTCTTCCCGATCGCTACAGTACTGCACAATCTTCGTATCATACATACTTCGTTTCTTGAGTCGTAGACAGGCCATGTAACACGATGGATAATTGTTGCACCGATCATTACAAACCCTATCAACTGTGTCACGTTTTACCGTACTGTACCAGTAGGATTAAAGGCTTGATCAAGGTTGACTTCTTTGTATTTGTGTGTATGTACATGTTCGAGTGATTTGCGTGAGAATGAGCAGTTCATGGCGACACAGGGCCGTTTTCTTCTTTGCTGTATTGCGTGATGTAGCGATGACCAGAGCTCATAATTTTGGCGCCTGCGCGCATCATGACCTGCGCTTGCTGGAATGACTGTTTGATTTCCTTCATCCATTCTTGAAATTCAGTCTCGGTCTGAAAGTGAGGCGATAAACGAAAGAGAAATATGAAAAGTTCTTCAATTAATTCTTAATTTCATTAAGTACTATGCTACAAAAGCGAAAGGATACCGACCAAATTAACTTA